GAAACGTGGTCGTTGAGTACAGGACGTCTTAGTAAGTCCTTATGTTCCATTGATCTAGTTGCCTCGAATAGGTTGCCTCGAAACAAGTTGCCTCGGAATAAAAAGATCAATGGCATAAGGGTAGCTTCTAAGGTATCTTACTATTGCTTGGTGACCACACTGTCCCTAACCCTCGAATTGACCCGAACACCTCCAACGGTGGTGCTACCTACCTCTCAATGGTAGGATGGCACTACTTTAAGGACACTTACACAGAAGAATTCCTTAGGGTAGGTAGATTCTCATAGATACTTGCTCTTTTCAAAAACAAACAAAATACTTTTCACACCTACACTTTCTAAAAGTTTTCAAACAAATTTTTCATACACTCTTGAGGACAGATACAAGAGTTACTTAGAAATTTTTCAAACGAAACTTTTTTCAAAACCCACTCACACTTTGAAAAGCAAACATTTTGAAAACACAATGAGCAAGTATCTAAGAGCCCATGGATAACCATGGATAGAAAGGGTGCTAACACCTTCCCTTTCTATAACCTACCTCCCGAACCGAGAGCAATCTCTTTAAAGGAATTTTTCTGTGCTTTTGTCCTTTCCATTTGGAGAAAATAAAAGACGGTGGCGACTCTTGCTTACCGCGACATTTCGCGAAACCAGCTTTAAACAGTCAGTTCCAGATCCACCGATCACACTGACCCTATGGGAACAGAGGGTATTTATAGCCCCCAGCGCTGGGCCAAGGTTCCTTCATTGGACCGGGCAGGTTTGGCCCAAATGGAGGAACTGCCAGGTTCTACGTGCGTAGTGGGGACCCGCACGTGGTCCCCTTCCTGGATGTTCTGCGTGAAGTGCGGGCGGACGGAGACGCGGTCTTTTCGGGGTCTCATTGGGAGCGTAGTGGACTGAGTCTGCCCTAGTTGGGGTGCTCGAGGTGATGTCGAGCTGGACAACAGGATGTCGAGCTAGAGATGTAGAGGTCGAGCAAGTAACCTCAGGGAGCACGTCGGACACGACTGTGACCCTTTGGTTGGCGTGGTCCTCAGCAAGTCTATTTGGATTGGGCCTTAGCAATGCTATTGGGTCTGTCGGACCCAGTCCAGAACAACAATTAATTAGATATTGCAATTCAATGTGAACCTATCATATTAATATTACTTTTGATCCTTGAATTATTTAAAATTATTTAATTGAGGTTTGAATTATTTAACTGATGATATATTGATAATCTTGCTATGAAAACTAAAAAGCAATACCTACGTAACCACCGTTGTGTTGTGGATGATCGACTGTTTTTCAAAATATTCAATGATTATTTTGTATTTGTCACTCCTTAACAATATATATTTCTTGGTACAATATTGACAGACATTATTTTGAATAACAAGTTTTTAATTTTGTTATAGTGATTTTTTCTAAAAGAGCAATCTTAAAATTAATATTTCAAATGATTTTAGAAATTTATTGAATTTTATATTATTATAATTTTTTTATTTAAAGTCAACGTATATATATCCTACCTTATCATCTATTTAAAAGACTTAGATTTATAACTAATTGCTACCTTAATTGTCAAAATCAATTAAATTAAGGTAAATGAAATAATAAATTGATTATATAAATTGACAGGAAAGTTCATTTTTATTTTTCTTGAAATGTGATTATTTATAGTTAGAGTCTTATAGTATGATATAACGATTTATTTTTTGATCATGAATCATTTTTTGAGATGACATTGCAATACTTTATAAGTCATCAAAGATTGGATCAAGAGCATATATGCATGTCATATAGTATGAAGTTAGTATAATTTAATTACTTTTAAAACCTTGTGACATATATTATATAATTGAATACAAGGAGAAATTGTTTCTAATATTATCAACTCCTTTTGAAAAATATAAAAGGTATTTATATAAAATTATTAATTTTCCAAAATATTTGAATTAAAAACTCCTTATTTATCGTCATAAATTAATTTTTTGTTATATACTCAAATAAATAAAAATTTAATTTTATGAGTATATTAGAAAGCTTATTATTTTGAGAGTTTTATCTTGGAAAATTAAGTAATCAATATTAATTTGTAAAATTGTAATTTCACCTATCGTGGATACAATTATACAAATTTTTTTATTTTATATAAAATATAAACATTTTTAATTCGTATGATAATAACTCAACTATCGTGGATACAATTATACAAATTTTATTTAATAAAATATTTAAATTATTTAAGTTATAATAAATATTATATTGATAGTAGTTATACCCTATCGATATATTATTATTAATATAATTTGTGTTGTTTAATGTATTTGAGATTTATGATTATGTAAACTATTATTCGAGTACTTTATCGGTATTAAAATTTTGTGATGTAATATTTGTACATTGTTATATTTCTTATTTAGAATTGTTGAAATTATTATTTGAGAAATAAGAAATTATTTTTTAAAGACATGTAATACTTTATGAGTTTCAATTCTCTTTATATTATGTAAGTGATGGACATACTCTATCGTTATGATGTTACTTAACATGATAATTGTGTGATAGATAAAATAGTTGAATATATATTTAAAATATTTTATAAACTCTTGAATTAATAATTCAACTATTATTATCTATCAAGTAGGAGAATTTAACATGTCAATTATATTAGAAATGAGAAACAAATATTATTTATTTAATATAATATTATTTTATGGAGATTTATATTGAGGATACTATAGTCTTATGTTAGTAATAAAAGTTTATGATTATTTGTGTTATATCCTCAATAATAGTTAAAATTAAATCTCATATTTTTCCGCTGCTTATAACATAATATGTTTCTCAGATGTGTGTGATTATAATTGTAGTATTTGAGATTTGAGTGAGTTATTAAGATGTTGTATATAATCCTATATTGAAAATTATAGAAATTCAATCTCACTCAAATGATGGTAAATCTCTTTTATATGACCATCATACTCTTTCATGTGAAATTATATCAATAATGATATGTTCTATCTATGTACAAAATATGTGATTGAGTTTGTAAAACTCTATTGATGATATATTATACAACCACTTCTCTATATTGTTTTATAATAAAAATATAATTAGTATTCCATTGTATAATCAGATACTAGTGAACTCTGAAAATTCTTTATACATGTTGGATGAGTGAGACTACATGTGTACAAAATTATATAATCTGAAACAATTTAGATTTTTATTCTCATATTGTCATATATTCTTGTGTGCACTATAAAATATGACATATTCTAAGAAGACTTCATTTATATTCTAAGAGATCTTATTCTATTATATTGAGATAAATATTATTTTCTTACTCTCACGAAACATCATTTGATGTTTAGGTAGATATTGAAAAGACAAGGTAATTTTTTTGCATGCAATAATATTGTGTTATTCTATCTTGAATAGTCTATTTTTGTCGGGTCATAATATAAAAGTACAAGTAAATATCAATACTTCTATCGAGTATGGTATTGTGTTACGAGGGTACTTATGATTAAATGTAATTACTCTTGTAATAGGGTAATGCCTATATGTAATTATTATTCTTAGACCTATGTGGATATTCTATGACATTTAATTTGAGAACTCAATAGTAAATCATTGACCACATACTTATGTAAGTCTTATGATATTTTGGGTTAATGTGAGTTTATCAATAATATTTATTTTATATGTTTGGGCCATTGTTTAATAACATATTTTCTCATATGAAATGTGTTTCTCTAAATTTATCATTTTAATATAAAATATATTTCTCTAACTTTATTGATCTGTTTTCCTTATCGGATTCATTTTTACAATATTGAAGTTTACTTTTGTTTTGTGAACAAGTGTTTTGACTATAATTAAAATTCTAGTATTAAAATTTATATATTTTTAATAATTGATTATTGTCATCCAAGTGGGAGAATGTTGGATTAATTATTTAATTAATCAATTATTAGAAATTATTAATATTAATTATGATCTATTATTATTAAACACTTATTGATGAATTATCTAATTAGACTATTGTCTCTGAATGAACAGTGATATGTTGGACCATTCAATTAAGTCTAATGAGATGTCTCTATCCTCATCTATTTAACTATTTAAGTGTTGCTCCATTAAACTATTAACCTAATGAAAATCCTAAATAACAATAAGAGTAGTAATTCTCTCATACCCACTAACCTCAATAAACAATTTCTTCAATTTGATAAGTTACACCATTCCTATAATATTTAATTTTCTATAATATAATAATATACTATAATTTGATTTATTGCTTTTGATTGAATTTAGGAGATTTAAATGCTCGTTACAGCCATAAAAGGTATTGCCGCCAATGAAAGTAAATTTGAAAATGACATGTATGGCCCAGAAAAGCATAAATTGCAATGCAATCTTGGAAAAAGTAAGAAAACAAAATAAGTTAATGGGTCATGTGTCATATAGGTTGATAATTCCTATCTTGTATTAGTTTCATGCACCAAACAAACTGATAAAAAGAATAATTCTATCAATTTATCATCATAGTTGTGTAGATAAAATGATTGATTTTTATTAGAGACCAAGAAAACTAAGCCTTATATCCAATGTCTGACATAAGAATATCTCAATGAATTTAGGTTAAGCCTGATTTCTACTTCATGCAAATATAAACTTCAACAATTCAAAATTACATTTCTATTTTGCTAATATTTCAATCCTGAGCAAATTTAATATCTCTTGTTAGTGTAAACAAAACCACGCTAACAAACAAAATTAACACACAAAAAACTGTTTAATCCAAAATGATTTACTACAAGTCTACTCTTAATTAAGATATTACAAATACTTGTAATCAACAAATTATAAATAAATTATCTACTATCTAACATTTATTAGAGGATTGACCACACTTTCATTATTGCCTTTTCCTTCAAATATTTTTTCACTACTAAAAAGATATTTTAGTAACTAACGAAATAACACTTCAAACTTACTATCTTTATGGATAGAAGCACTAAGTGTTTGATTTTCATTGATGTTTCTCTCTTTTCAGGTAAACTCTCTCATTTCTTCTCTATCTCTCTCTCTTTTCTCTGTTTCTTTTTGCTTCTCTCTCATCAACTCACTATTCACCCCCCCTTCTCTCTCTTTCTCCTCAAACTTTACCTCCGCCGCCGCCCCTTTCTCCTTCTTATCTACGACTTCTATCACCTCTATTGAAAAAAACAAAACCATTTTTGGACTCCTTATCTCACAAGCTTTCTAATGAACATGTTGTATTTTTATTTCAAGCAATACTGATTTTGGAGGTATTTTTCTTATGGTCAAATGTGTCCACTTTTATCAACAAGTAAGTTGCTTTAACTGTGATTCGATTTGGGGTTTTGATTGATTTCCTTTTCGGTTAGTTGGTTGAGTTTTTGTGTTTTGATTCGATTTGGTATGTTTTCGATTTCGATTTCATATTTCCGCATAACCACTGATTTAGTAGTTTTTTTGTTATGTGTTATATAGTCTTTGGTGGCGAACGAAGAATTTCTCAGCATATTCTGCGTGTACTAAACAGCTATGTCGACGGGAAGCAGAAGATAATGTTTGAAATGACCTCTATTAAGGGTAATGGAAGAATATATGCTAACATCTGCTACAAGAAAGAAGTCTGATATTGACATGAACAAGAGGCACATAATTTAGTTTTATTGATTATATGAGTAAAAATACTATTTTGTTTTGTTGTTGATGATAAATGAGTGTTTTAGCTATAACATCATTATATGTTGATTTTTTGTTTTTAAGTTTGCTTTGTTATTGGTGTAACTGAAATGATGTATTTCGTCACAATTTTTACTTTCCTCTTGAACTACGTTGCAATAGAAAAACTCATGTTGTAAAATCACCAGCTTAATGTTTGAACTATTTTCTTATCACACTTTCTTTCTTTTCATTGGAAGGAAGATAAGGCCAAGGATTTCATTTCTTATGTTCATGCAAATGTTCGTCTTGGGTCTCTTCGGGTTAGTACTTTCTTCATCAATAGTTAGTTCATCTGAATTTCGACTTTAACCATTCCATAAATGTTCTAATATAAGGATTTTTTCATATTGTTTTATTCTTGTGATTGATCAGAATTTGTACTATGTTGGGTTGAAATTCACTTCTTCAACATACTCATGTGCTATTAGCAATATTCTCCATGTAATGGCTGTTATTGTCAAGAATACTTTTATATACACAATCAATTAATTTATAAGTATCTTCTTTTATGTTGATGTTGGTTTGGACTCAACTGGTGCATACTTAACAAACCGAGATGTGTTTGATAGGATCTCGAAAAGGCTTATACGAGGAACTCCTTGACTGCATTTTCCCCTTCACGAGACACCAAGATAATGGAGTGCCAAGCAGCGAGAATGGATACAGAAGGAGAAGGATGAAATGGTTCTTCTGCTTAAATCAGAAGCTGATTAATTACAAAACATTGCAGTTTCAATTCAGATAGTTTTTCATTTCTCTTCTCCATAAGAACATTTTTAATCACAGTCCATTCTCTTATCCATCACCTAAATATTTACACTACCAATTAGTCACTATCAATTAATCACACTGTATGATCAATAAAAATATTTTATTTTTATCATATGTATCTTAATCTGCAAAAGATGATTGAATTGTAGCTCTTCCTTGTTGTGTTGGGTGGTTAAACCCTGAAGGAAATGATATTCCAATTATGATCTTGAAGTTGAAGTTAAGTAGATTCTCATGCTTAATAGTACTCATTGAGAAGTTTGTTTTGACATTTAATGTGTAATTTTTTATATAGAAAGATATGAAGTAGTGATTAATGATGACATGCTTCAGTGCTTTTTATGAAAACTTTATACATGAGACTAGTATAATATATATATTTGGAAAGTTACTGCAAGTAATTTTTCTTACTTTTTGAGACTGATATAATACTCCTTTTTGAATTATTCATTTATCACAACTTCCACATGGGATGTTTTCACTTTCTTAGCTTAATCTCAATTTTTGTCCTTTCTCTTTTGCTTTGTCCAGGTTCTATTATTTCGCAATAAAACAAACCAATGATCTGTACCATCAAGATTCTCCACCAAAACAAATTCAAAAGTCAAAATAGCTCTGTCTATACCATCCTGACACGAGAAAGCATTCATAAATGTTCATATTATGATTTAAATTAAATTTGATAAAAAGAAACAAGAAAAATAAATTGTTCCCATGATCACATTTTATGAACTCATTTTGTGTATTGGTCACACAATGAGGCATTTAATGTTAACAAAGTTTGTTGGGATAGTTGATAATTTATCGTGTAACACCAAGAAGAACTATATGTATTATATTTGTGTCTTTTTCTTGCTCGATTGATGGTAACAGAGTTGAAGTTAAACCACTTTTTTACAATGAACATCCTCTAGAATAGCTTAAAATTTGTCAGAACAGTAAGGCTAACATGTGCTTTCTAATTCTTGATGTTATATTGATAAATCGCAGTGGAAATGCTAGCAATAACTACCATAGTTAAATAATTAAAGAGGGATGATATGCATCCTGATCTAAACCCTAACTAAGACTTAGTTTAATGTAGGTGGATCTTTTCTTCTATAGAGAACCAGAAAAGACCAAGGAACAAGAGGATTATAAGGTTCTTGCTTCCGATTAAAGTACCTATTTATGATTTATTCTTAATAATACATATAAAGATGTATCTTAAGACATACAAATTTGTAATATTCTATTATTTGTAATGACATTTCTATCAACAAAAACAAGTACCTATTCAACATGTGAATATTGTCATTGCCTTCTGTTAAACTGTTGTATACTTATTTCTTATTATTCTAATGTTTCTAAAAGGTATGAAAATGGTGCTTTTATGTTTACTACTTCTGGTGTTGAATTGCAAGCAAGGTAGGGGTTAACTTTTTTACATAGAGTCATGTGTATAATTTTTTTCTATTTTGGAATCTTAGTTCTCTTCAATAAAATGACATAGCTTTGTACTTTTTGTTGTGTATTTCTTTTCTTTTTTATTCTGCTTTTGATCCCCAAATCCTTCTCGTGTTGTGCATATAATTTTCTAAAAGAATGGCTTATATTTTAGGAGCAGAATTCAATAATATTATATCCATCCGCATAAAGTTGTTCTATAAATTGCATCAGGTTTACCTTAAAAGTTGTCCTATAAATGGAGACAGAAAAAGAAGAGGTTAAAAATACGTATATGAAATCATGTTTTATCAGAATTTTTTTACAAATATTTAAGTAGTAAGTTGTAATTGAAATTTTATGTAAAATTTTTTCAAACTTACAGGTAGATATTGAATTCTTTAAATAAAATTAGATAGGTAAAAGTGCATGTGAGGCTTGTGTGCTCCTCTATAATACTCTATGTAGTAGTAAGTTTGTTGATGATTATGTTATTTCAAATATTTTAACAAAATGATATTTAATTATTAATTATGAAGAATGGTAATTTAAATGATATTAAAGTAAACACGAATCACTAACACCATAAAAGATGATACTTTATTTCACTTTTGTGCTCCTCTAACTTGCATATTTTGATTTTAATAAAAAAATAGTTAATCTCACGGGTCACTATCAACACGAGATCTATTTTAATTTAAGAGACACAATTTTTATTTTTAAATATCATTTTTTCTCTATCTCACAGTTTTTCCCCTTCTTTTTATATGATTATTTAGTACAATTAAATCTTTATGATTATTGTTCATTTTACAATTAAGTAATTTATTTTAAATTTTGAATTTATATTTTGAATAAAAAATAATAAGTTAACACCTTTTTTAACATAAACATCGTATTTGTATATATATTGTGCATACGTTTTATTTTTTTAATAATAGTTCATTTAAAATTTTGCATTTACAAAAAAATCATTTTTTCTCCAATTGACATGTTTTTTTATATAGTAGATGCTTTTACATTTTTGGATGATTTAACTTTTTAAAAATCAGTATTGGCTTTTATATTTTAAATTTGTATAGATAATTAACTTTTTATCTTATGGGTCACAACTAGAATAATCATTATTAGAAAAAAATTATTTTTTATATATTATTTTTTCTTCATATTATTGTTCAATTTTTTCTTCTTTTTATATGATTATTTAATATAATTAAATCTATATGATTATTGTTCATTTTATAAATAAATAAATCATTTCAAATTTTGCATTTATATCTAAAACTTTACATTTACATTTGTTAAAATTTTATTTTTTTCTATGATTATTTAAGAGTTATATATATATATATATATATATATATATATATATATATATATATATATATATATATATATATATATATATATATATATATATATATATATATATATATATATATATATATATATATATATATATATATCTTTTTTATATATATATATCTTTTTTATATATGATTATTTACTACAGTTAAATTTCTATAATTATTATTTATTTCAAGTTTAATTATATTATATTTATTGTGTCTAAATTTATTTAGTTATATTTGTGTCTTTTTCTTTATATGATTAAACTAATAATTTACATTTTTATTATGCAAATTGCTCATGGTTTCTTTTATTTATATTACTCATATCGTTCAAAAACTACTACACCCGAAAAAATTTACCCGTGTGGGAGCACGGGTCTCTGACTAGTTGTTATTTTACGATTTAAAAAAATTATCACTGAAGAAATTATTAGGTCGAGTCGTGGACTAGGTCGCTCTCTTTAAGATATTTTGCGATACTGTCATGAATTGTGCAAAGCAGTCAATCACATGACACCTACAGAATAAAAACAACTCAGTTCTATATTATAGGATTATTACTTGCCCAATATGTAATCGGTCTAGAAATATATCTTATGACAAACAAAGACCAGTCAATAATAGTATAAAAACCACACACAGTATCTGGTATAAAGATCAGTGGTATATCTAATAAAAACCATTCGTATATGGAGAAAGGCAGCCCAGTCAAAACTAAGAACAAAAAAGAGAAATTTATAAGATGAAGAGGAGACGAGAGAGAAAAAAGATTTTGGAATGTGGAAATATGGAGTGAAGAAAATGAAATGGAAAGGTCACCAAGAAAATATGGAAGGCAAGATAATCGTGAAAACTTGATCAAAATTTAGGATTATCGTTAAGGTACAACACATCAATAATTAATTAATAAATATTGATTAATATACAACACACTGATAATTAAATTAATCAATATTAAATATTTTTCACCATTTTAGATACCAAAAAATAATGGATCACCCAAGGTCAAGTCCGGTCCAAACCAAGCCGAACTGATTCAACTGGCAAGAAAGTTGCCAGCGGCGAGCGCGAGTATGATGGTTCTTGGTGGTGCATCATCACCGTTTCATAAAATTGCTTACCCTGTAACACCCTTCTAACCCACATACGTTTCACATATAATTTCTCGAAAAATAAAATCAAATAAAGATCACAAAAGGGCATCACATCTTCATAGAACATCAAATAACAATTAAATCATGCTCCGTAACACGGGTTGCAAAGAAACCATTAATTATAATCTCTAGTAACCACAAACAATTCACTTCAAACTTCACAACAGAATTAATGAGTCATATCTTCATTAAATGATCTCAAATACCACGAAAGGTAGTTCAAATATCATTAACATCGTCACACTTCATGTTTATAACATCATAGCCTAAAACATGGTAAAAGTCATGATAGAAATATAAAATCTCAAAATAGAAAAACATTCAAAGTTCACAAACAAACGATCCCAACCCCGATGTTACATATAAGAGTGAGACTCCTTTTATTCAACAAAAGCAAATAAACACACTCTGAAGATATCCCCTAATGCTTCTACGGACTATTCTTGTTCACCTGCGTGTTACCCACGTGGAGGCAACATTCAAACAGAAAGGGTGAGTAAATCATAATCATTATAAAAGACATAAGGGATAAGTTTAGTAGACATGCACATAGGCAAGGCACCAAACATCATAATAACTTCATGTTATACTCACACCTTCACAAACATCACCAATTCACAACAACATATTATCAAAATACCATTTATCAATAAATACCATTTAATCACATTATTATGCAATGTCACATAAAATGTAATGCATCACTATAGACTCATGCATATGGTACCAAAACTTCATTGATGACTCAATCATCGTTATCTCCAAAGATCCCCACCAATAAGATCGATTCCCGCTTAGAATCAGAGTATTTCATAATTTTGCACTCAATCCACACTATGGGATTGATGCCTTCACTAGACTGAAGTCCTGATAATATCACTGGACTAAAGTCATAAACTATACCATGAATACATGATGCACAACAACATAATAAAAACAACCACGGCTAGTCAAAATGCATCATCATTCATGATTTCA